CACACACAAACACACACACGCATGCAGTGTTTGGTGGAAAGACCATTAGCATTTTCATCAGTTATTGTAGTCATTATTTCTGCAGAGGAGAGCTGATTACTTAACTATCATGCATTGATTACTGCATTATGTGATTGCATATAATTAAGTGGTTATATAACAGAAGGAAGAGGCCAAGGTAGAACATCCATCAGTTACTTGACCTCATTTTTTGCTTTCTATTTTTCTGTCGCTCTATGTAACCTAAACACATAGACAAAATAAAGAAATAGCCAGTCTGTTGGCAGTTTGTCCCCTCTGCAGCACATGCTTAGCAGATATCATGACTCTGGACTCGAATACTTGGCCCTCAACTCCTGTCAGGCCTTGAAGCGGCAGCGAGCACCACTCACTTGGCATGGTGCATATGTGTGTGTTTAATCAGAACAACATCTGCTTCCTGCACTCATTTCCAACAGCGATAAACCACTGATTGTCCTGAGTCTTTGATAAGGGCTCAGGAGAGAGGGGGGGGGAGAAAGGACAGTTTTAGAAACGGAGCTCAGGCGAACGTTGAGCCAAATGGCGTTGTACACATTTCCTGAGAAGTCACCAGCACAAGGCTTGCATACATTAAAGCTCTGAAGTTTGCAGTGGGAGATGTTTATCGGCCTCGAGGGGAAAGTGTGCCTCTTTCACGGATTGTTGGCAAGCCTAGAGGGGAAGACGGAAGAAGATTAGCGAGGCTGAGCTTGATAAATTTGCCCTAAACTGGGGCCGTTTGTGTTTTAGATTTTTGACAACTTGGCATGGTATTTTAATGTTCAAAAAAAGAAAAATAGTGCATGTATAGACTAGCATGCAAGGTCATTCTTAAACTTCCATTTCTTGAAACAGTTCCACATGAACTATGAATGTACAAAACTGTGTGCCAGTCCATCTTGTTAGATGTCAATGTTCTATAGGATCAAGTCAATATAATTTATCCTCAAGGAACCTTGAATATCTGTAGCAAACTTAATGGCAATCCAGTTGTCAAGATATTTCATTCTGAACCACAAATATAATCCTCATGGTGGTGCTAAAACAAAAATCAGTGGAACACCTGAGTTGTTAGGATTCGTCATCTGGGGAGCATGCATGGCTGTACTAAATCCATCTTGTAGATATTTCAGTCTGAACCAAAGTGGTGGACCGACCGTCCAACAGACTAGTACACCAACACTGCTGTCCCCAGAGGCATCCTGCTAGCGTGGCTAAATAGAAGAAGAGGATGTTGTGCTGAAAGAAATAGATGGGGGGGGGGAGCAAGACAAAGAAAAGTGCTAAATTCAGCCCTCACTGCCAGCAAAAAAGAGGACAGAAAAAGACAAAGTGAGAGGAAGAAACCCAGACGGAGAGAGTTGGAGTGTGCAGCTCACATGGAAAGGAAAAGCTGGCTGTCTGCTAGACTTGGCAAAGTAAGCCAAGTCATGTTGAAAGTTCAGGTAGTGGCCCTTATTTGGCTGGAATGCTGCCTTTTCTTAACAAAATCAGCACAATCCAACACCTCTGTCAGTAAAGACTCGACTTCTCAGGGAGACGGCCCAAGAAAGTGGTCTCCCAGGTATTCTAGCCTATGATCCATTTTATGAGTAAAAATACAGCGCAGATGGTAGAAAAAAGAACATCCAGTATTTGGATAGTTGATGACTTTATCTACCACTGATGTGAAACTTAATATCTACAATAAATTCCAAAGAAATATCTGTTGTATGCTGGCCTGGTATTGTAGGAATTCCATGTTGGACTATTCCGCAGATTACATTTTTCTTTCAGTGCCAACATTCAGGGCTAATGCTGAAAGTAGTGTGCATTATGTGAAACATCATTTAAATAAATAACTTCTGGTAGCTTTTTATTATGATTTACTTGAAAACAGAAATGTGTAAAACAATAACGGAACACTGCCCCGCCCTCGTGCAAATAAATTCACACATGGCTGTCAAAACCACTTCAGTCTAAGACTGAACATAGACAAGTCCAAGTCAAGGATCCAAATAAGCCTCAGTCTGAGTCAATGGGCCAACAAAAACTGTCCTATTCCAAGACCAAGCCAACCAGTGTCCTATCACATCAGTATATGACATAAACCTTAAAAATCATCCTACACTGGGTTTTAAACATTCAGAATCAAGAAGTAATTAATCTTGTTATGAGCTGTAGCCACAATCCATCTGTAAGCCAAGTGCCTCACCATAAGCAAGTGTTTTACTTGCCTAACCCTAACCATTAGGGATGCCCTGAACCAATGCTGAGGCTCATTTCTCAATAATTTAAGATTAAAAGTATTTAATCAACATTGCACATCTTCTGCTTTTTAAATATTTATTTTTACTATGTACACTAGGAATCACTGACATTAAATTAATTTTCAGGATGAATTTAGTTCTGTCTGATCTCATTTTCAAGTAGTAGCTTGAGTGTGCATTGAGCAGGTGTGTCATTTGGGTAAATACTGGTATCGAATTTGGACTCAATTTTGGCACCAATATATTAAAGGACTTGGATCGGAATCAGGGCCAAAAAAGCTTTTTTGGTACAACCCCATCTGAACTATAGTTTAATTACCATAGCCACAATCTTACACTAGCCTTAACTAGAAAGCATGAATTTGAAAAAGACTGGCAGTGGATGATTCTTGCCTGCAAATAGTGTTGTTGTATGCACATTATTCCTTGAACAACTTTGGGATATGTGAGCTCCTGAAGATCCCCTTAAAACTTGTCTCACCTGCGATATCTCAATCAAGCCTCAATTCAGCAAACCCTTTCACACTTATAGCCACACAAAGGGGCTAAAGACAAGTCAAGAAACATCAATCCTACCACTTCAGATCCTCTTTTGCGCGCGCACACACACACACACAAACACACCACAAAACACACACACACACCCCAGAACCCTCAATGCTTTTGTCAACCAATCTAATTAAAAACCCTTAAGGCAAAGTGCCAGCCCTTCAAACTAGCTTAACCCGCACAGCTCCACTGTCACTGCAAACCTTTTCATTGGGTCACTTTGTTTCATAATTCAATTTACTGATTCAAAAGATAAAACCCCTCCTGGCCCGTCCTCTAAGCCAATCACAATGGGGCGCCACCCTTCACACTGACATTATGATTACTCTGTCCTTTGTGTTGTCATTCTTAAGTACGTCCTTAAGTCCACACAATATTATAATCCATAATCCAAACGCTTCAATCTTAAACCCCAGCTGCTTCAACCAATTCAAGTTTTCTTTTCTTAACTCTCCAGGTGAATGGTTGGCATTTTTGTTGTGGTGAAGGACGATTTAAGAGGAAAACTGAGGGCTGTAATGACGTACAGGGAAATATTTGACAGCAGTAAAAAAAAAACAAAAGAGAAAAGTTGGAGGAAGAAAACAACAAGAGCTGAAAGCTTCAGTGAGAAAATAGCTGGGCAGAGTCTCTCAAACGTCTGAGCATATTGATCGAGAGGCTTCCAGCATAGAGTTGACCTTGTGTCTGGTCTGTGAGGTATTACTTCTGAGGACTTTTGATGGACAACGCATATGCAGCGATACCCAGAAAGGGCCAAAAGATGCCTATGTCGGAACAAAACAGGAGCAAATTCTGGCAGTATGACAGAGTGTGTCTTAATTTAGCTGTGTTTGAAATCTCTCAGTTCACAGTCAGACGCTGTCTGTGTAGCCGTCAAACGCAGCTTTGGTTCAGCAAACACCAGAGGCAGAAACTATCGCAGACAAACACCCGACAACATGAAAAAGCACTTACGGGAGAAGCACACTCTCTTGGTTGCAACCCGGCCTAAAGGCAACTTTTTTTCACCCCTGTGTCTCCTGTGAGTAATGGGAATGAACGGGAGACGAATGAGAATCAGAGAACAAAACCAACATGGGAAAACAGCGACAAAGAAAGAGAGAGAAGAGAGATAAAGGGATGAAGACTGATGGGTGACAACTTAAGAGACAAAGCTGAGAACGTGTTTAAGTCTCTTGACAGTCTACAAGTAATTGGAAGCAGATCGGATTTATTCAAGGATGCTTAAAATTAATAAGTATAGTATAAGTATCTATATGAGAACCTTCAGTGAATATTTTTAAAGGAAAGCAGAGGACATTTATGGTTTCTTTTGCAAGGATGTCTTGCAGGAAAGAAAAACAGCAAATATGTCTCTAGATTTTTTGGAACTTTGAGAATTTTTCAATTTCTTTTCTCTGAATATTTTAGCAGCAAGGTTCTTTGATTGGCAGGATGAAGGCTGATGGTCAGTTGATCTGTCCATCACTTTTTTGAACAATGAGATTTGGTGTCCAGATGATGTATGAACTGATCCCTTACCTGTTCTTCTTGTGCCACCAACAGGTTGACCAATGTGGTGCTGAGTGAAATGTCTGTACAATTAAGGGATGGTTTGCCATGAAATATGGTACAGACGTATATTTTCCCACAAGAAGAATCCTACTGACTCTCCCTTGACTTTTCTTCTAGTGCCAAGAAAAGGTTGACATTTTTGTTTTTTATTGAAATATTCTGACAGCTACTGGGTGGTTGGCAACAAAAAACACAGAGGATACATTTTAAAAACTTGGTGATCCTAGCATCATCTTGCATTATCAGGTAAAAATTCTAATGTTTTCAATACGTTGGTTTTGACCATATTTCTCCAAACACAGCCGTCACACAGCGTCTCAGAGCTGCTACCATGTTCCTTGTTTGGTAATGGCTGAGAGTCAAAACTGGGAGTTGGACATGGAGGGATGATAAAGAGATTTCGAGGGGAGATCTGGA